AAGGTATCTTCTCAAAGTAAGAACTCCAGGAAGAACATTTTTCTGCTTAGGACAGAAATAAATCACAATTTGAAATGACCAAATTTTTGGAGATACACAGTTCTATTCCTTGCTTGAATGCCTAATAAATAGGTATCATATGACAAACAACTTGCTTTTGGGGAGGAGGTATAAAGGAGGACAGCTGGATTTTCAACTACTGACCTCCAGCTTACTAGGCAGGCACACTACCACTTCAGCCATGGCCTTAGCTGCAAACAACTTGCTCTTTAACAACTTGTCATATTATTTTGCTTTGGTTTTTTTCTTTTTTAATTTTTTATTCATTTATTCATATGTGCATACATTATTTGAGCCATTCCTCCCCCTTGCCGCCTGTCCCCTTCCTCTCCCCCTACCCACCTCACTTCCAGGCAGAACCTGTTCTGCCCTTATCTCTAATTTTGTTGAAGAGAAGACATTAGCAATAATAAGAAAGACAAAGTGAACAGCTTGTCTTACTGTTATTCTATTTTTTAAATTCCCATCCAAAATAGTATGAAAAAATAGGTCAAATATTCTCATTTTCAAATATCTCCTTTTAAATGCTGTGTTTTTGTCATAAGAAGTGTGGTTCCATTAAGGCTTAGCATGTTGATACATTTGAAATATAATAGCAGAGTATTCATTGTAAAGTAGACATCCACATAAAGCAGATCCACCATATACTCCAATGAACTGATTGTCCTGAACTATTAAGTTCAACTGTGGGAAATCGTTGATATACAACTGGCTTTGACCTGTAAAAATGCTCTTTCATTTGCTTCAGCCTAATACTGATAGTACCCATGTGCTGTGACAACACTAACTTGGATGACACCATGTACTGACTCAGAATAGGACCATGGACACAATAACAGAAATGAAGACTAATGGTATAGAATAGAAGACCCAGACATAAATCCATGAAGCTACAACCAACTGATTTCCAACAACAAAGCTCAAAACACATGATGGAGAAAAGACAGCCTCTTCAACAAATGTTGCTGGGAAAACTGGATTGCACATGTAGAAGACAGAAAATAGATCCTGTCTCTCACCCTGACCAATATCAACTCAAAGTCAATCTAATATAAAGCCTGAAACTTTGAAAGAACTACAGAAAGTAGTTGAAATTACACTGGAACATGTAGACCTAGGCAATGACTTCCTAACTAGAACTCCAGTGGATCATACCTATAATACTAGCTCCTCAAGAGGCAGAGATCAGGAGAATCATGGTTTGACTCCAGCCAGGGCAAATAGCTTGTGAGACACAACCTCAAAAAAAATCTATCAAAAAGAAAGGCTGGTGGAGTGCTGGTGAGCATATATATATTTAGAGAGGGAGAGAGCGAGAGAGAGAGAGAGAGGGATGACACCATATGATTTGAAGGCAAATAGATGCAATTGGAGGATGACATCATGTTAAGTGAAATAAGTCAGGTCCAGAAAGACAAAGGCCATATGTTTTCTCTCATATGTGGAAGATAAATCCAAAAGATAAATATATATATACAAATCAAACATAATCATATACAAAATTATATGTAGAACGTGTTTGCAATAGTGGAACTACTCCTCTATGGAACTCAGGAGAGGAGGGAAAGGAACAGAGGATAAATGTCGAAATAAATAACATTTGTGCAGGTAGAGGATACAACAATATGTACTGAAGGTTGTTGAATGATGAGGGGTGAGAGGGAAGGGGTAAGGGAGAGTAAAGGAAGGGGTGGAACTGATAAAGTATACATACAGCAGGGATACATGAAGAAGCCCCTTTGAACTTAGGAATTGACTTAGGAACTAATAGCCAAAGACAGGACTACAAAATAGGTAGTGTGCGGGGGATACTTGTAGAAGAGGGGAAAGTGAATGAAGGAGATGAAACTGAGGGAATATGGTTGATGGACCTCACATACATATATGAAATAGAATAATGAAACCTCTTGCAATTGCCTTAAGTGGAGCAGAGAGAGATTTGAAGAGGGGAGATGGTGGGGGTGATCTAACCAATGTACAATGTAAGCCTATATGGAATTGTAGAAATTAATCCCTTCTGTACAACAAATATGTCCTCATAAAAATGAAGAAAGAAATTCCTTATCCACATGCCTTTCCATATATAAATTCCTAAACCAAATAGACAAATGAAAATGAACAAATTCCCGTCCATCTTCAGAGAAGCAGGCCTCCTTGTCAGCCTTGCAACACTTTTCCAGACATGCAGCAAAATCCCCCAAAACAGTATGCAGTTGCGCCCCTGTTGCCTTAGGCTTGTGTTTCACCAGCTCAGCAATTGCCCTCCATTTGGGCAGAAAAAGGAAGAAATAGGAGAGAAAATTTTATTCACATTAAAAAAGTGTAGATGGCTGGGCGCTGTTGGCTCACAACCATAATCCTAGCTACTCAGGAGGCAGAGATCAGGAGGATCTCGGTTCAAAGCCAGCCCGGGCAAATAGTTCTCAAGACCCTTTCTCAAAAATACCTAACACAAAAAGGGCTGGTGGAGTGGCTCAAAGTGTGGGCCTTGAGTTCAAGTCCTGGTACCACACACACACACACACACACACACACACACACAAAAAGAAAGTGTAGATGATAAGGATGGTAGTGCCATCATTTAAGATTATAAGTCTTGGAGCCAGGAAACCTTGGGTTTGAGGCTCAGGCATACCACTGTAAGCCTCTGTATTCTTATCTGCCTAGGAGGATGAAAAAATCCACTTCACTAGGAGTGGAGAGAGGAACAAATGAGATAATCAGTGCAAATCACTCAGTGTTTTATGTATTTCAATAAATCTCTAAAAAAGTTGCATTTAGATATCATTCAGATTTAGAAAGTTTCTCATATGTATAAGTAATTAAGAATGACAATTAAATGATCATTAAATTTTTAAATTTTATTTTATTTTTATTATCATATTATTGTTGTACTGGGATTATATTGTGACATTTACAAAAGTGCTTACAATATATTTTAAGCACTTTTTCACACGAAAATGAGACAATAGGTCTCATTGTTCCATTTTTACACGAGTACATAATATTTCTACTATATTCATCCTTTTTCACCCTCTCTTCTATCCTCCCCCTTCCCACTGGTACCAAGCCCCAGATAGGACCCATTTTACCTTCCTGTCCTTTGCTTTTGAAAAAGACATTTTTGTTTGTTTAAGATAACTATAGGATTTCACTATGACATTTCCATATATTAATTAAATTTTTACCTTGGACTTCATTTGAAAAGTTTCTCATCAGGGCCAGGCACTGGTGGCTCACGCCTGTAATCCCAGCTACTCAAGAGGCAGAGATCAAGAGGATTGCAATTGGAGGCCAGCCAGGCAAATTATGAGACCCTATCTCAAAAATGCCCAACATAAAAAAGGGCTGGAAGAGTGGTTCAAGTGGCAGAGCACCTGCTTAGCAAGTGTGAGGCCCTGAGTTAAAACCCAGCACCACCAAAAAAAAAAAAAAAATCTCATCAGGGAATCATCATGTGTGGTATTTGAAATTAGCCCTTTCAAAGCTAGTATTTGGGAGCCTACAAGAAATAAGACAATTTAAACAAATAGCAGCTGTTGGCTGTGTTCATTGACATCTGTAGAGAAAATATAGAGAAATATAGAGAAAAAATAGAATTTGTGTGAGTGTGACAGGTAATGGTTACTGTTGTTAATTCTGATAACAGGCCAGGCAAAGATGACAGCTTTCTATTGCTATATGTCATGCTAGTCTAACCCCTCATGACAATCAGGGAATGGAGCCACAAAATTCACATTTTAGCTGGTTTTTAATTGGAGTCTTGTCCTCAAAGTCATACCTAGGGTGTTTGTCTGACCTGTAGAGTCCACACCGAACAGCTTAAAATAACCATTCGTGTCAGAAATAAATTATCTTCTGATTTCTGTAACTAATTTGCTGTCTACCCAACTTCACCAGTTTTTTCAGCAATACAGCTTTCTCCACTGGGCCTAGCCTAAGATTTTATTCTAGGGTGGGTTTTATCCACAATATTGCCCTGAACAATTTGAAGGCATGATTATAATATGTTTTTTAAGAAAAAAAAATAGTCATTCATTTTATTCTTGACACTTTTATCATCTTAATAGTGGCAATCCTCAAATACTTTTCTTGAAGAAATGTGACCAATAAATCAATTGACATGTATCAAGTCTGCAAACAAAGGATATAATGAAAGAGTCCTCACAATTGTTTCTTGAATTGTTTCTCCTTGTCTGGAAGTGTGCATATATCAGCATGGAAGGTGAATGACTCAGCGTTAAACTCTTTGGGAACATATGATTCATCAGGTTGCAGGGCAGAAAAGCGTGGTCGCCTGTTCACCAAGGACTCAGTGCAGCATTTGGTGACTCCTCGCTCACTGGGTTTATCTCATGGAACTTGCACAACTGGTGCAGGACCACAGACAGCTAATGATAAGGAAGAAGAGCAGAAATTCAAAAAGTGCCCACGACTGCCCACTCTCTAGTGAACAAAAAAAGTTGTCATATTAACTCACAACTTTGAATCCAAAGTTGAAGCAGTGATTTGTTTATCTTTGGAACTAAAAATAAAGGACTTCTAAAAGACATCTCTGTTTTTAATTGAGTGTTTATACGTGATAAGAATAACATAGTAAGGAAAATAATTTGTGGTGATATATCCTGATACATATGTTGTATGGGAAGGAAATAATATTATATATACATGATTTTAAAAAAGGACCCCAAAGAAAGTGAATATGTGAAAGAACACTGAAAATTAATTGCTTCAAAATATGTTACCTCTTTGGGATATTACCTAATCACAGGACTCAGAATAATGTAGGTGAAGAAGTCTTGGAGCCACTGTACACACACACACACACACACACACACACACCCCTATACACATATACCTAAGTTCTCCTCTGATTCTGAAAATTAGGTTTGTGAACCTTTAAAGACAAAAGATCATCATTTACATTATAAATTACTCACAGAGTCTTCACCACAAGGCATTCTCTCTGTTTCAGGAAGCTATGACACCTGGTGCCCGTACTTTCTATGTTTCTTGCAGCCTCCACTAGAGTTGGATTTGACACCTGAGGTGCTTTCTTGGTGTAATAAATTATAAGCCTGTAAAAAAACAATATAGTCTATGTGTTTTCATCCAGGCATAAAATTGTCATGGTTTAATATAGTAGATCAGGAAGAGAAAATTGTGCCAAAATCAACTAAATGCCCTTATTTTCCATTCTTCAACTCACACTCATCTCCAGGATGATGGCATGGTGTTGAAGGAAAACCTGTCCTGAGCACAGTAAACACAGCTTTAACACTACCTGTACCATGGTTCTTTTTCTTTTTTAAACATGACCACTTAGAAATTTATTGAATTAAATCTGGAACACATGTACAGGTGGGCATTTGAAAAACATTCTCAGACATACCAGGCACATGGGCTCATCAAACACATCAGACCAACAAAGGATGCGCCCCTCATCTGGATCTTACAAAGGACACGGCCCTCAGGTGCTGCCCGCACTTTCCGCAGGGCCAACCTCAGACACCACAGTTCACACTCACCTGGAACTCCACATGAATCTCCGGCGTTACAAGCTTGCTGGAACTGCCCTTTAACTCGCATTTCAATGCTGAGCAGCTCTGTGTCTGGGCCTTGTCTGTTACCCATCTATCCGACCACCTGCCTGACTCTTCCTTCTGTTTAGCTCTGCCTTGCTTCCAAGTATGGGCCCTTTAGCCTGCAGGACACTTTTTTTTTTTTTTTTTTTTTTTTTTATTATTCATATGTGCATACAAGGCTTGGGTCATTTCTCCCCCCGCCCCCACCCCCTCCCTTACCACCCACTCCCCCCTCCCTCTCCCCCCCTCAATACCCAGCAGAAACTATTTTGCCCTTATTCTAATTTTGTTGTAGAGAGAGTATAAGCAATAATAGGAAGGAACAAGGGTTTTTGCTGGTTGAGATAAGGATAGCTATACAGGGCATTGACTCACATTGATTTCCTGTGCGTGGGTGTTACCTTCTAGGTTAATTCTTTTTGATCTAACCTTTTCTCTAGTTCCTGGTCCCCTTTTCCTATTGGCCTCAGTTGCTTTTAAGGTATCTGCTTTAGTTTCTCTGCGTTAAGGGCAACAAATGCTAGCTAGTTTTTTAGGTGTCTTACCTATCCTCACCCCTCCCTTGTGTGCTCTCGCTTTTATCATGTGCTCAAAGTCCAATCCAATCCCTTGTTGTGTTTGCCCTTGATCTAATGTCCACATATGAGGGAGAACATACGATTTTTGGTCTTTTGGGCCAGGCTAACCTCACTCAGAATGATGTTTCTCCAATTCCATCCATTTACCAGCGAATGATAACATTTCGTTCTTCTTCATGGCTGCATAAAATTCCATTGTGTATAGATACCACATTTTCTTAATCCATTCGTCAGTGGTGGGGCATCTTGGCTGTTTCCATAACTTGGCTATTGTGAATAGTGCCGCAATAAACATGGGTGTGCAGGTGCCTCTGGAGTAACCTGTGTCACAGTCTTTTGGGTATATCCCAAGAGTGGTATTGCTGGATCAAATGGTAGATCAATGTTAGCTTTTTAAGTAGCCTCCAAATTTTTTTCCAGAGTGGTTGTACTAGTTTACATTCCCACCAACAGTGTAAGAGGGTTCCTTTTTCCCCCATCCTCGCCAACACCTGTTGTTGGTGTGTTGCTGATGATGCTATTCTAACAGGGGTGAGGTGGAATCTTAGTGTGGTTTTAATTTGCATTTCCTTTATTGCTAGAGATGGTGAGCATTTTTTCATGTGTTTTTTGGCCATTTGAATTTCTTCTTTTGAGAAAGTTCTGTTTAGTTCACTTGCCCATTTCTTTATTGGTTCATTAGTTTTGGGAGAATTTAGTTTTTTAAGTTCCCTATATATTCTGGTTATCAGTCCTTTGTCTGATGTAGCTGGCAAATATTTTCTCCCACTCTGTGGGTGTTCTCTTCAGTTTAGAGACCATTTCTTTTTGATGAACAGAAGCTTTTTAGTTTATGAGGTCCCATTTATCTATGCTATCTCTTAGTTGCTGTGCTGCTGGGGTTTCATTGAGAAAGTTCTTACCTATACCTACTAACTCCAGAGTATTTCCTACTCTTTCCTGTATCAATTTAGAGTTTGTGGTCTGATATTAAGATCCTTGATCCATTTTGAGTTAATCTTGGTATAGGGTGATATACATGGATCTAGTTTCAGTTTTTTGCAGACTGCTAACCAGTTTTCCCAGCAGTTTTTGTTGAAGAGGCTGCTATTTCTCCATCGTATTTTTAGCTCCTTTGTCAAAGACAAGTTGGTTATAGTTGTGTGGCTTCATATCTGGGTCCTCTATTTGTTCCACTGGTCTTATGTCTGTTTTTGTGCCAGTACATGCGTTTTTATTGTCTGCTTTGTAATATAGTTTGAAGTCAGGTATTGTGATACCCTCCTGCATTGTTTCTTTTGACTGAGTATTGCCTTGGCTATTCGTGGCTTCCTGTGTTTTCATAATAAATTTCAGGTAGATTTTCGATCTCTTTAATGAATGTCATTGGAATTTGATGGGAATTGCATTAAACATGTAGATTACTTTTGGGAGTATGACATTTTTACTATGTTGATTCTACCAATCCATGAGCATGGGAGGTCTCTCCACTTTCTATAGTCTTCCTCAATCTCTTTCTTAGAAGTGTATAGTTTTCCTTGTAGAGGTCTTTCACATCTTTTGTTAGGTTTACACCTAGGTATTTTGATTTTTTTTGAGGCTATTGTAAATGGAATTGTTTTTCTATTTCTTTTCAGTTTGCCTCATTATTAGTTATGTTGTTTTATATCCTGCTTCCTTGCTATAGCATTGAATGAATGTCTAGAAGCTTCTGAGTAGTTTTTTGGGTCTTTAAGGTATAGGATCAATGTCGCTGCAAATAGGGGATATTGACAGTTTCTTTTACCTACTTGTATTCCTTTTATTCCTTCCTTCTTGCTAATTGCTCTGGCTAGGAATTCCAGTACTATGTTGAATAGGAGTGGAGATATGGGCATCCTTGTCTGGTTCTGATTAGAGGGAATGGTTTCAAGTTTTTCGTCCTGTTAAGTTAAATGCTGGCTGTAGGTTTGTCAATATAGCTTTTATATATGTTGAAGGTACTTTCCTTCTATTCCTAGGTTTTCTGAGAGCTTTATCATAAATGGGTGTTGGACCTCTTATCAAAAGGCTTTTTCTTGCATCTATTGAGTGATCAAGTTG